GTCTGTACATGGGTCATGGTCATGGTGGCGGCATTCTCCTCTCCACTACTTCCAGGCTTGGACGCCCAGTCTGGCAAGGAAAGAGCCTCCGAATCGGGGAGCAACAGAGGTGGCGAGGAGGAGGCCGCCGCAAAGTAGGGACACTCATCCCTACTTCACGGATTTTCACTTATCCTGGGTGGTCCTGGAACGGAACACCCACAATAAGTGGGGAAACATTGCATATGGGTCTGTACATGGGTCATGGTCATGGTGGCGGCATTCTCCTCTCCACTACTTCCAGGCTTGGACGCCCAGTCTGGCAAGGAAAGAGCCTCCGAATCGGGGAGCAACAGAGGTGGCGAGGAGGAGGCCGCCGCAAAGTAGGGACACTCGGCCCTACTTCACGGATTTTCACTTATCATGGGTGGTCCTGGAACGGAACACTCGCAATAAGTGAGGAAACACTGTATATGGGTCTGTACATGGGTCATGGTCATGGTGGCGGCATCCTCCTCCCCGTCCCTCCGCTGCATCCCACTCCTTTCTCGCCAGGCTGGGCACCAGGCTTGGGCACCCAGCTTGGCGAGGAAGGGGCCTCAGAGAAGGGGAGCAGCAGAGGTGGCGAGGAGGAGGCCGCCGCAAAGTAGGGACACTCGGCCCTACTTCACGGATTTTCACTTATCATGGGTGAGGAAACACTATATGGGTCTGTACATGGGTCATGGTCCATAGTTCCAAAACACCTTTGGGATGGGGAAAGACCTTGGTGGGCCATATGTGGCCTGCATCCATAGTTTGAAGATCGGTTTAAGATGGGAAAACCTTTTTTGGGCTATATACAGCCCATAGTCCATAGTTTGAAGATCACTGGGATGTGGAAAGACCTTTTCGGGCCATATGCGGCCCATAGTTCAAAGAATGCTTTGGGGTGGAGGAAAGATCTTTTTGAGCTATATGTGGCCCGTGGACCATAGCTTGAGGATCGCCCATAGGGGATTATTTTGGGATGTGGAAAGATCTTGGTGGGTCATATGCGGCCCAAAGTTTGAAGCTGGCTTTGGAATGGGAAAGGACATTTTAGGCCTATGTGTAGCCCAAGCATGTAGTTTGAAGATTGCTTTGGGATGGAGAAAGATCTTGGCCCATAGCTTTGAGGTGGGGGAAATCCTTGGCGGGCCATATCTGGCCTGTGGTCATAGTTTGAAGATTGCTTTGGGGTGGGGAAGGCCTTGCTGAGCTATATGTATAGTTTGAAGATCACTTTGGCGAAGGATATTTTTAGGCTGTGTACATCCCATGGTCCATAGTTTGACAATCACTTTGAGATGGAGAAAGTCCTTGGTAGACCATATGCAGCCTGTGAGCCTAGTTTGGAGTGGGAGAAACACCTTGGTGGGTCATACGTGACCTGTAGTTTGAAGATAGCTTTGGGATGGGGAAGGACCTTGACCCATTGCTTGAAGAAAGCTTTGAGGTAGGGGAAAGCCCTTGGTGGACCATATCTGGCCCATGACCGTAGCTTGAAGACTTCTTTGGGGTGAGGTAGACCTGGGTTGGTTATATGCAGCCTGTGAGCCTAGTTTGAAGACCACTTTGGGGTGGGGGAAACACCTTGGTGGGTCATACGCAACCTGTAGTTTGAAGATAGCTTTGAGATGGGGAAGGATCTTGACCCATTGCTTGAAGAAAGCTTTGAGGTAGGGGAAAGCCCTTGGTGGACCATATCTGACCCATGACCATAGTTTGAAGACTTCTTTGGGGTGAGGTAGACCTGGGTGGGCTATATGCAGCCTGTGAGCCTAGTTTGAAGACCGCTTTGGGGTGGGGGAAACACCTTGGTGGGTCATACGCAACCTGTAGTTTGAAGATAGCTTTGGGATGGGGAAGGACCCTTGACCCATTGCTTGAAGAAAGCTTTGAGGTAGGGGAGAGCCCTTGGTGGACCATATCTGGCCCATGACCATAGCTGGAAGACTTCTTTGGGGTGAGGAAGACCTGGGTGGGCTATATGTAGCCTGTAGCATATAGTTTGAAGATCACTTTGTGGCGGGGAAAGACCTTTTGGGGCCAGATGTGGTCTGTGCCCCATTGCTTGAAGATTGCTTTGAGATGGGGAAGACCTGGCCATATGTAGCCCGTGGGCCGTAGTTTGAAGATCGGGGAATGGGGAACGACCTTGGTGAGTCATATGTGGCCTGTAGTTTGAAGATTGTGTTGTGATGGGGAAGGACCTTTTCGGGCTATGTATGTCCCATGGTCTGAAGTTTGAAGATCACTTTGGGATGGGGAAAGACCTTGGTAGGCCATATGCAGCCTGTGAGCCTAGTTTGAAGACCGCTTTGGGGTGGGGAAAATACCTTGATGGGTCATAAACGACCTGTAGTTTGAAGATTGCTTTGGGATGGGGAAGGACCTTCTCGGGTTGTATTCGTCCCATGACCTGTAGTTTGCAGATCACCTTGGGATGGAAGAAAGACTGCTTTGGTAAGGGGAAGTCCTCCGTGGGCCGTATGTGACCCATAGCTTGAAGACCACTTTGGGGTGGAGGAAAGACCTCTGTGGGTCATATGTGACCCATAGTTTAAAGAATGATTGGGGATGGGGAAATATTTGTTGAGATGTATATGAGGTTCACTTTGAGATGAGGAAATACTTTTGGGTTGTATGCGGCCTGTCGTTTGAAGACTGCTTTGGGATAGGGAAAGACCTTGGTGGGCCGTTTGTGGTCCATAGTTCAAAGAATGCTTTGGGAACGGAGAACCTTTTGAGTTGTATGTGGCCTGCAGACCATAGCTTGAGGATCACTTTGGGGTGGGAAAAGACCCTTTTGGCCATATGTGGCCCATAGGCAATAGTTTGAAGAATGTTTTTTGTATGGGGAAGGATCTTGGTGGGCTGTATGTGGCCTGCACCCTGTAGTGTGAAAATCACTTTGGGACAGAGAGAGACCTTGATGGATCCTATGTGGGCTGTAGACCATAATTTGGAGACCACTTTGGGATGAGGAGAGACCTTGGTGGGTCTTATGTGGGCTGCAGACCATAGCTTGAAGACTACTTTGCGATGGGGAGAGACCTTGGTGGGTCGTATGTAGGCTATAGACCATAATTGAAGACCACTTTGGGATGGGAATAGACCTTGGTGGTCGTATGTAGGCTATAGACCATAGTTTGAAGACCACTTTGGGATGGGGAGAGACCTTGGTGGGTCGTATGTAGGCTGTAGACAATAGTTTGAAGACCACTTTGGGATGGGGAGAGACCTTGGTGGGTCTTACGTGGGCTGTAGACCAATTTGGGATGGGGAAAGACCTTGGTGGGTAATTTGTCGGCTGTAGACCATAGTTTGAAGACCATTTTGTAGTGGGGCGAGACCTTGGTGGGTGGTTTGTGGGCTGTAGACCATAGTTTGAAGACCATTTTGGGATGGGGAGAGGCCTTGGTGCATCTTACGTGGGCTGTAGACCATAGTTTGGAGACCAGTTTGGGATGAGGAGAGACCTTAGTGGGTTATATGTGGGCTGTAGACCATAGCTTGAAGACTACTTTGGGATGGGGAGAGATCTTGGTGGGTCGTATGTAGGCTATAGACCATAGTTTGAGGACCACTTTGGCATGGGGATAGACCTTGGTGGGTGGTATTTAGGCTGTACTCCATAGTTTGAAGACCACTTAGGGATGGGGAGACTTAGGTGGGTTGTATGTGGGCTGTAGACCATAGTTTGAAGATCACTTTGAGCTGAGGAGAGACCTTGGTGGGTCTTACATGGGCTGTAGACCAATTTGGGATGGGGAAAGACCTTGGTGGGTCATTTGTCGGCTGTAGAACATAGTTTGAAGACCACTTTGGGATGGGGAGACCTAGGTGGGTTGTATATGGACTGTAGACCATAGTTTGAAGGCAACTTTGGGATGGGGAAAGATCTTGGTGGGTCTTACGTGGGCTGTAGACCAATTTGGGATGGGGAAAGACCTTGGTGGGTCATTTGTCGGCTGAAGACCACTTTGGGATGGGGAGAGACTTTGGTGCGTCTTATGTGGGCTGTAGACCATAGTTTGAAGACCACTTTGGGATGGGGAGAGACCTTGGTGGGTCTTACACAGGCTGTATACCAATTTGGGATGGGGAAAGACCTTGTTTGGTCATTGGTCGTTTGTCGGCTGTAGACCATAGTTTGAAGACCACTTTGGAATGGGGAAAGACCTTGGTGGGTCATTTGTCAGCTGTAGACCAATTTGGGATGAGAAAAGACCTCGGTGGGTCGCATGTGGGCTGTAGACCATAGTATGAAGACCACTTTGGGATGGGGAAAGACCTTGGTGGGTCTTACGTGGGCTGTAGACCAATTTGGGATGGGGAAAGACCTTGGTGGGTCATTTGTCAGCTGTAGACCAATTTGGGATGGGAAAAGACCTCGGTGAGTCGCATGTGGGCTGTAGACCATAGTATGAAGACCACTTTGGGATGGGGTGACACCTTGGTGGGTTGTATGTGGGCTCTAGACCATAGTTTGAAGACCATTTTGAGATGGGGAGAGACCTTGGTGGGTCGTTTGTTGGCTGTAGTCCATAGTTTGAAGACCACTTTGGGATGGGGAGAGACCTTGGTGGGTGGTATGTGGGCTATAAACCATAGTTTGAAGACCATTTTGAGATGGGGAGAGACCTTGGTGGGTCGTTTGTTGGCTGTAGTCCATAGTTTGAAGACCATTTTGGGATGGGGAAAGACCTTGGTGGGTCTTACGTGGATGTGGAGGATGCCTTTTTGAGCTATATGTGGCCCGCGGACCATAGATTCAGGATCGCTTTGGGATGGGGAGATACCCTTTTGGGGCTGTTTTCAGCCCACGGGCCGTAGTTTGAGGATCACTTCAGGGCCCTTCATGCCAACTTGGCCCAACGCCCTTGCCTCCCCAGCGGGGTTGTGATGGGGAGCGGGAAAGAAACATGCCCAGATCCCCCCACCAATAATCCACCGTGTCAACTCTGGTCTCTCTCAAATCTTTCTTTTATCACCAGGGAATTCTTTTAGCTCTTCCAAGTCGCGAACGTTCATCATCGAAGGTACTCCGCGCGCCCCTTCTGCTCCATTCTGACTCCCTGCATCCGAAAGTGGCATTTTATGGAACCAGAAAGCAAATCTGTGCGCTTTCCTTTGGCTTTTTGGACGATTCCCCTTATTTATTATTGGCAGCCCATTCCTTCCTGGAACTCAGACGATCCTTTTATTTATTTTCATTTCAAAATATTATATTATATATATATATACATATTTAAGAAAACAAACACAATGAAATTCTCCATAAAATGCCCAAAAGGAAGCAAAGAAAGAACAAAGGGGGACGAAAAGAATAATCCAAACAGTAGACCAGAAACATACAAGCCAACCTTTAGCAAACATCTTGCAAGTAATACTCGCAAAACAATCTGTTTTGTTCCTTCCCGATTCATATCACCTCATAATCCCCTCCCTTTGTTGTGTTGCGACACATCTGCTGCGTCCAAATGGAGATTGTAGGGGGAATTATTATTATTATTATCATTATTATTACAATTTAAAGAGGCGAACTCTGAGCTCTGGTTCATGCAGGCTTGCTGCTGTTTTGGGGCTGCATTGCGCCATTGCGACATTTGGGAATTGCATTTTTTGTTTTGGGGTTCTGTTTGTTTGTTTGTTTGTTTGTTTTGCATCGGCTGGCATTTCCCAAATTGCAATGCGTTTTTTTTAAAATACATATATATTTTAATTTCTGTATTACCGTATATACTCAAGTATAAGCCGACCCGAATATAAGCCGAGGCACCTAATTTTACCACAAAAAACTGGGAAATCTTATTGACTCGAGTATAAGCCGAGGCTGAGAAATGCAGCCGCTACTGGTCAATTTGGCAGATGGCCACCCAGTCTTTCTGTCATTCCCTCCCCCCCCCTTGAGGAGCACAAGCTTTCCTCAGCGGTGGCAGGGGAGTTGGGGAACCCCTGCGGTAGGCTTTTCCGCACGCTTGCTGTCCTTCTTCCTTGTCCCATGTGCGACCGCGGAGTCACCGGTAAAAAAACAGGTTTCAGCTTTACTAGAGCAGTTCAGAAACACAACATAGTACATCATTAGTGACCAGACGTGAAGTACACAGAACAAAGGAAATGGGAAACGAAAACAAAACTGCAGCTAGCTAGGAGTTATCTCACAGGCACTCCCTAATATTGCACACAGCTAGAAACTCAGGGTCACATTCTCACAGCCTTCTGTATAAGCATTAGGCTTGGGTAACCACGGAAAAATTTGGTTCTAAACTCGTTTTGTTTTTAGGGGGCCCTTGCGTTTCGTTTTTTTTAATAATTCCGAAATTTTCCTTTTAAAAATTTGGAAATATATGAAATTTCGTAAAATTACGAATCGATTCGTTAATGGCGGACGCGATTGCGCAATATGCTAAAAAAACCTCCAAATGGGACAGGAACTTCTGAAGCTTCCCTCTCCCTCTGTTGTTGACTGTTGGTGTGATAAAACAAACAACAACTATAAAACTTGCACCAGACATGCGAAAATAATTACGAAATAATTACAAAATAATTACGAAATAAATTGAAAAAATTGTTTCGAATCTAATTTACTCCTCACGCTATTCCTGCATGGCTCAATATTGGATCGTAAGCTAATTTAAATACGAATTAATAACGAATTACGAAATTAACGAACGAAACCGCCCAAGCCTAATATATATATATTAATTTTTGTATTACTGTATATACTCGAGTATAAGCCGACCCGAATATAAGCCGAGGCACCTAATTTTACCACAAAAAACTGGGAAATCTTATTGACTCGAGTATAAGCCGAGGGTGAGAAATGCAGCCACTACTGGTCAATTTGACAGATGGCCACCCAGTCTTTCTGTCATTCCCTCCCCCCCCCCTCGAGGAGCACAAGCTTTCCTCAGCGGTGGCAGGGGAGTTGGGGAACCCCTGCGGTAGGCTTTTCCACACACTTGCTCTCCTTCTTCCTTGTCCCATGTGCGACCGCGGAGGCAGCGGTGGGAGGAAGCAGAAAAGCCGCGCATGGGGCGAGGAGGGAGGGGAAAGCGCACACTGCGCCCCTTCCTCTCTTGCCACACGCACACATTTTCCGGCGGCGTGAGGGAGAAGGGGAAGGTACACGCCTTTCTCTCCCCTCCAGGATCATCAAGTTTGCAGACGACACCAAATTGGGAGGGATAGCCAATACTCCAGAGGACAGGAGCAGGATTCAAAACGATCTTGACAGATTAGAGAGATGGACCAAAACTAACAAAATGAAGTTCAACAGGGACAAATGCAAGATACTCCACTTTGGCAGAAAAAAACAAAATGCAAAGATACAGAATGAGGGATGCCTGGCTTAAGAGCAGTACGTGTGAAAAAGATCTTGGAGTCCTCGTGGACAACAAGTTAAACATGAGCCAACAATGTGATGTGGCGGCAAAAAAAACCAATGGGATTTTGGCCTGCATCAATAGGAGCCTAGTGCCTAGATCTAAGGAAGTTATGCTCCCCATGCTCTATTGTGCTTTGGTTAGACCCCACCTGGAATATTGTGTCCAATTCTGGGCACCACAACTCAAGAGAGATATTGACAAGCTGGAATGTGTCCAGAGGAGGGCGACTCAAATGATCAAGGGTCCCTATGAGGAGCGGCTTAAGGAGCTGGGCATGTTTAGCCTGAAGAAGAGAAGGCTGAGAGGGGATATGATAGCCATGTATAAATATGTGATAGGAAGCCACAGGGAGGAGGGAGCAAGCTTGTTTTCTGCTTCCTTGGAGACTAGGACGCGGAACAATGGCTTCAAACTACAAGAGAGGAGATTCCATCTGAACATGAGGAAGAACTTCCTGACTGTGAGAGCCGTTCAGCAGTAGAACTCTCTGCCCCGGAGTGTGGCGGAGGCTCCTTCTTTGGGAGCTTTTAAACAGAGGCTGGATGGCCATCTGTCAGGGGTGATTTGAATGCAATATTCCTGCTTCTTGGCAGAATGGGGTTGGACTGGATGGCCCATGAGGTCTCTTCCAACTCTTTGATTCTATGATTTATGCCCCGTGCACGCCTTTACCGCCGCTGCCGAGGAAGGCGCACACGGGGTGTGGGAGGAGAGAGAGGGGTGCACCGTTCCCTTCTCCCTCCCGTGCCTTTCCTGCTTCCGCCGCCGAAGAAGGCACACACCTTGCATGGGAGGAGAGGGAGGCACACACTTTCCCTTCCCCTCTCATCCCATGCGCGGCTTTTCTGCTTTGTCCCGCCGCTGCCCCCACGGCCGCACATGGGACAAGGAAGAAGGAGAGCAAGCCTGCGGGAAAGCCTGCCGCAAGGGCTTCCTCTTCCTCTGCCGCCACTGAGGCTGCCGAGGAAGGCTTGCCTTTCCCTCCTCCTCCCTCGTTCCGTGGTAGGTTTCCTCAGCGGAAGAGGTAGCTGTGGCTGTGTGGATCGTCTACGGCCTTGCTCTCCTGCAGGCTCGGAGGAGGGAAAGGCACGCAGGGAGCGAGGGAGGAGGAAAGGTGAGGATCCTGGTGGGAAGACATGGGGAAAGAGCTCTTCTTTCAGCCCCACACACTCCTGCCAGGACCCTGAGCCGAATATAAGCCGAGCGGAAGTTTTTCTGTTAGCGCTAGCAGAAGTATTGTAAAAGCTCAGAATAATGGACTCTGGAGTCACCGGTAAAAAAACAGGTTTCAGCTTTACTAGAGCAGTTCAGAAACACAACATAGTACATCATCAGTGAGCAGACGTGAAGTACACAGAACAAAGTAAATGGGAAACGAAAACAAAACTGCAGCTGGCTAGGAGTTATCTCAGGCACTCCCTAATATTGCACACAGCTAGAAACTCAGGGTCACATTCTCACAGCCTTCTGTGTAAGCATTAGGCTTGGGTAACCACAGAAAAATTTGGTTCTAAACTCGTTTTGTTTTTAGGGGGCCCTTGCGTTTCGTTTTTTTTAAATAATTCCGAAATTTTCCTTTTTTTTAATAATTCCGAAATTTTGTATAATTATGAATCGAATGGCGGACGCGATTGCGCAATATGCTAAAAAACCCTCCAAATGGGACAGGGGGAACTTCTGAAGCTTCCCTCTCCCTCTGTTGTTGACTGTTGGTGTGATAAAACACACAACAACTATAAAACTTGCACCAGACATGCGAAAATAATTACGAAATAATTACGAAATAATTACGAAATAAATTGAAAAATTGTTTCGAATCTAATTTACTCCTCACACTATTCCTGCATGGCTCAATATTGGATCGTAAGCTAATTTAAATACGAATTAATAATGAATTACGAAATTAACGAACGAAACCGCCCAAGCCTACTAAGCATACATCCTGGCAATACAATCACGTTACTTCTACATGAAATTACATTTAAACATACATTGTTGTGAGTCAGCATTCTGATACCATACCTACTACCAGTAGTAGGAGAAGAAGAAGGAGTTTCAGACAATCTGTGTTCTGTGGGTCGCGACATACATCATACATGAAAAATACACACTGATATTTTCAGCCTGAAAAAAATGGCTGAAAAACTCGGCTTCTAGTCGAGTATATACGGTATGTTGCAAAAATATTTTTCCTAAAGCCAGGAACTTGTTTTTTTCTCCCCCGTTGAGCAAATTCTCTCTCAATGCAATGGCATCGTTCTGCGAAGGGAATTTCAGGCTTCATGTAAATATATGATTTCTTTTATTACTCTAGGTCTCAAAATGAGAAAAAAAATGCTCTTTTCCTGATTTTAAAGTGTTCCTATTTAATTGTGCCGTACTTCACTTACTTTGAAAGTAGTTGTTATATTCCAGGAACTTTGTTGTTTTTGTTGCTGCCACGAGCTAGGTTGAATTACTCTAAGATTCACTGAAAAACAATAGTAATATACCGTATATACTCGAGTAGAAGCCGACCCGAATATAAGCCGAGCCACCTAATATTACCACAAAAAACTGGGAAAAACGTATTGACTCGCGTATAAGCCAAGGGTGGAAAATACAGCCACTACTGGTAAATTTCAAAATAAAAGTTACATTAATTGAGACAT